CATTAAAAAGCGTAAAAAGTCGCGCTCTACAATTGAATTTAAAATGTTACCGCTTAATAAAAATTTACCAACTGCAATACAGGCAGAAGCAAAATATCAAGAACAAAAAACAAACCGAAAGAGAAGAGGTTTAGCTAAGGCAGATGCCGACAAGCAAATACACTTGCTGGATTAGATAATTGTGCTGGGATAAGCAAAGCAATTTTTATACGGAAATACTTATGCTTATTAACTTATAGTTTATATAGATAGATATTCCATATTATATTTTTCATTGTTTTGTCAGTCACTTAAGCCAACAAGTTCCAAATGGTCGGAATGCTCAACTAACTTTGCTTATAGGTGCTTTGGCTCCTAAATTTTGACACCTGCTTTGCTTATAGGTGCTTTGGCTCCACTTTCATTTTGGCCTAACAAAAAACAATTAACCAAAGAATTTCTTTCAAATTTGTTGCCAAAAACAATAGACTAATAATGCCGCAGCATTACCTAGAACTGCCACCCTGAGACGCTTGCAACTGAAGAGGGCTTTGAAAGGACAGGATTGAGTGGACAAAGACGTTATCTAATCAAGCAACTGAACAAGATCCGTAAAACATTTTTTGACGAAATTTTAGATACTTTTTGAGCAGACTTCGCATGTGTTCTTGATCTTGATCAGCAGTCGGATCAAGCTGTGAGTGCATTTGCAAAGACACAAATTTTTGGTTTATTTCGCTCTTTTCAAGTGCTGTGAGAATTTGTTCTTATCACTAGGTTCCGGGTGTATCCTAGTCGGGTGAGCTCAACTGAAGCTTACATAATTGAGCTTAAGCTCTAAACAGCGTTGCTCAGTAGTAGTCTGTGTCTCAACAAAAGACTTTGCTTTTCTCAAAGATAACGCCTTTGCTTTAATTAATTTTTATATAAATATATATATATGTATATATGTATATATAAATATATCCAGTATTAGTTTTTATTCCTTTTGCCCAATCAGCTTAGTTTATTTGCTGCTTTGCTTATATCTGCATCAGCTTAGAGTAGTCGTGCATACACTTGAAGACAAAACAAAGCAATTACGCATACGCCCCTTGAGCAGCCCAACCGTCCACAAACACTCACACACACAGAGAAGAGACACCGCAACACGTTGCTCGGCTTGGCCGTTGCTGGGTTTATCTAAAATTCATGCTCTCTGGCCTCTGCGCGCTGGCTGCTTTTTACGATTTAACATAAAAATCAATTACCAACAATGGTAAAATTTCACAGTCATAAAATTTGAGTAACTTTGCCCGCAGACTACGAAAAACGTCCTCGATGCCGCAGCGTGTCTCAAAATTGAGAAACAATTTGAGACGTTTAAATCATTTGATTGTTTTATTCTCTTCACTTCTCTTCGTTTCTATTTGCTGTCCATGCAAACATAAACTTCTCAACTGAAATGCGATTTTTTACATCTATATAATAGTTATGTGTAAGGAATTACATCATAAAAACGAAGCTTAGATTATATAAATATTATAGAGCAATATTTCTATGGCATGCTTTATGAAAACATCGTTTTTATAGAAATAATCATCAAAGCAACATTAAAAAATGCTTTTAAATAATAACTAATCGCGGAGTTATATTTTCATTTTCCATATCTATCAACAACTAAACACAGCAGCAGTAAAAAAAAACTTCGCAACGTGTTAACCGCAACCACAACATGGCTAATGATAGGCTGGGCGCTCGCACAACACAAATCAGAAACGGCATACAACAAATGGCAGTCAGTTATTTAAAAGCCAGGCTAATGGACAACACACCAACAGCAACCATGGCCTAACGACCCACCAACTGCCCATCAAAATAAGCCAACAGCAGCTGATGCAACGCAAAAAAAAAACAAACAAAAAAAGAAGAAAATGAAAAAAGTGCGGGCGCCGCTCCGCAGCGAACCGCCAACCGCTAACAACACTCATAATCCCTCCATTTAGCGGGCAACTAGCTGAGCCGCGCTGCCAGGGCACACAGAAAAAACTCATGTAATTTAAGCGCAATGCGTGAGAATTTGGCCAAAAGCAGCAACAGCAGCAGCAGCATCAGCAGCAGCAAAAAATGAGCAGAGTTTCAATTGATATATTCTAGCTGAGGTGTTAGATCTAGGGCAACTAGGACAATTTGTTAAGAAACTTTAAGAGAGCGCATATTTATCTTAAGATTAAGATCTTTAGCAATATATAAAAAAATTTTGTTTCGATTGACTGATTGATTGATTTGCTGATTCTGATTGAACAGAAGCGCTGCTTAATTGAATTTTATTGTTTTTTTTTGTTTAGTTTTAGTGATATGAAAACGTTTTAAACACAATTTCAGTGTGGATAAAGACTGCGGGTAAGGTGCGGATAAAGTGTGCGGATAAAGTGCGGATAAAGAGTGCGGATATAGAGTACGTATAAAGCATGAATAAAGAGTGCGGAAAGAGTGCAGAAATAGTGCGGATAAAGAGTAAAAAATCGATTTTCAAAACCATTTTGAAGCACTTAAATATCAAGCTAATTATATACTTATCTATTCATCTCAATTCACTAATCAATATTTTTATATTTTTGTATTGTTATAAAAAACATTACATTAAATTGCTGAACAAGTTTCCATAATGTTGATATACTTTTTTCAGCTTTTCTTTATCAATTCATTGGCGAGATTTTGAGAGCTAATTGAGCTATCTCAAGAACTTGAGATCTTTTCATATCTATCTATATTTAACAACATCTATATATCACATATTTCAACTAGAGCTCTAACATAACTTTCGTATAAAAGCTGAAAGCTTAGCTCAAATTTTAAGCATAGCCTGATTCAGGCCTTTAATTATATAAAATGGAAACTTGCTTCAATTATGTTTGACTTTTCAATGCTTCAAAATAACTATGCCTCTGGGATGAGCTAATGTAGAAGATAAGTATTAAACTGCTCCTGCATTAAAGCCTGGTTTATATGAATTAGATATTCGGCAGCTGGAGTCGAAGGCGAGTCGAGTTTAACGTTGAGTGCATTTTGAGTTTAAAACACTTTATCACAGGCGAATTGACAAAGTGCGCGTCGCTGATGTCACATCAAATGCAGAAAAGGGGGCGTAACGGAGCTGTGGGGCTACTCGATTTTTTTTTGCCAGTAAAGACAATAACAACGAACGTCAAAGTGGTCGAAAAATCAAACAGCCAACAGCCAGACGGGCAGGTGGCAGGCAGTCGAAGCAGCTCGGTTCATTTTCGTTGGACTGGGGCCAGGCAGATGACAGCAGGCAGCTACGAGTGGTGCAGGTAGTGGGCAGGCAGCCATAGCCATAGCCACTTGACCTCCGCCCTAGACACCTACGCACCCAGACACAAGCAGGCAAGGCAACTGCGTGTGTGTGTTTAGCCTGGCAGTCGCCCATGGCGTGACAATGATGAATGACCATTGATCCGAAGCGTTTTAGACGTACAATAAGGTAACTCGATTTGGTTGCTGTTGTGGCGTAGCTTGAGGCACCTACGCAGCAGCAGCAGCATTTCCGTTGCCCAGCCCACTCAATGCTTTTCCCAAGCGTAGATTGAACGCCAAAGTTTTTGATACATGTGAGCAGAGGAGCGTGTATGCACCATGTGTGTGTGCAAGTGTGTACAAGTGTGTGTGTGTGTGCAAGCTAGCATAAATCACAGTAATACTAATCAATCTTTAAACCGAACATGACGTCCATCATTTTTCGCAACATTGCGGCGATAAAAAATAGAAAATAAACCTCGACTGACCCTGATAAAGTTAATTAAAATTGTGTGTTACATACACACACACCACACCACAAGCACACTTTGGTTTACGAGTATTTGTGTGTGTATTTCTGATGAGCCAAAAGTAAAAGTTGGCGTGAAACTTTATTGGCGCAGCAAGAGATTTGCAATGCATGCTTTTGGTATTAACGGAGCGATCTTTATGAAAAGGTAAATGGATATATATTAATTAATTAATATGAATATAGAATATATATATTTTTCAAAATATTTCGCATAGAAGTATAGTTTTATCATAGATTTTATGAAGCTTTTAGTAAATGACTAACGGAATAGAGCAGCTTTGCATGTCCAAGTTGTTGACAGACTTGATATAAGTTATATAAGCTATATATATAACTACCACTTTTAATGTTACAAGCAATAAATAAATACAACATTAAATTTCTAAATAAAGTATGAAACAAATATGAGCGGTCTAGTCGGGTGTGCCTGACTAAAAACTACCCTGAGCTCTGCGTTAAGCTTCTACTCTAATTATTCTTCTTGCATACATACATAACCAGCACACACACACACACACACACACCCACAAGCACTTAACCCGCACAGTTAACTTGAGCATTCAAATTACGCCTAAAGCCCCAAGCAAAATTATGGTTTATAAGAAAATGAGATGAGTTATCACACACAGGAATATATACTTCAAGTCTCTAGCTTTAATAGCTTAGGAGATTGATGCTCTCACACAGGCGAACAGGCAAATATGGCTAGATCAGCTCAAGAATATACACACATTATTTTGTCTGCCAAGCCAACTTATACCTGTTACACAACATTTCACATTTTTAGGCAGATGCCTTAGAAAAATACTGAGATATTAGGAAATTAATTTCAGTTTCAGCTTAAGCAATGTGCTGTGAATAAATGTCTGAGATACATTGCAAATAGTCTTAGTAGTTGAGCAATATTGTACGCCACTAATTTTTTTGAAACAGTGAGAAGTGAGGAAGCATTTTTAGGCTTACGCTTTGTTTGCAATAAAGTGCCACATTTGTTGCAGCAAAACCAAAGTGGAGTCTAGAAAAAAGGGGCATGAAAAACGATATAGTCTGCTTCTTCACTTTTCAGTCGTATGCCTTGAAGGTATAAAGTGCGTCTGTGTGTGTGTATGAATTGTTTGCCTTTGGTCGTCAAGCACTTGAAACTTTTCTCCTATTGATTGTTTTTTTTATGTGTGGAGTTGAGGGTACTTACCGCAACAGAGTTTTTCATATCAGCAATGGCCGATGCAAATTCGGAGAAATGCAATTCGGGGCAATAAATAATGGGCGCCAATAAATCGCCGGATTTGCGTCCGGCCTGCAATGCCTTTGATTCCCATGGCTCCGAGTTTGTCAATATGGCGCCATGATACTTGCCCGTGGCAACACCCTGCAACAGAGCGAAGAAAGAGAAGCAAATTTAATATGTATACGTAAAATAGAAAACACAGAAACATAAGAGAGCTTTAATGGCCCGGCCATCCGAACTGATAGAAAACATGCAATATTCAAGTCGAATGTGCTAACAATAAAACTGCACAGCAGCCCAAACATCGTTAAGGTGGCAACCTGATGGGGGAGGGGGCTGGGTTGAATGCAGAACAATGGGGCCAGCCAAGCGGCGCTGCATGGTTTGCCCCAGCCAAAATTGCGAGCTTCCGACGCGACCAGCAATAAAAAGGTGCAAGGTTATTTAGCACAAGCAACACCCAAAACAACGGCGAACCATGGACCACGGCAACGGCATCCGCGCCAGCACGAGGAGTAGCTGCAACAGCATCAAGACCAGCCAAGGACTCTAACAGCGCGTGTTAAACTACAGCTGGACAAATGAAAGCAACAAACACAACAACAACAATAGGTGTAACAAGCAGCAGCAACATAAAATGTAAAAGCACAAAAGTGTTGGCTGCTGTTTGTTGCTTGTTTCAATATACCCTGCAGGAAATTTTAGCAAAAGTGATGTGAAATTTGATATTGAACTAAAAAGGCTAGAGTTGGTTTAACATATAAATATACATAAATAAATATACATATAAAATAGAAATTCAATTAATTAATTTGTTAGAACAGAAAACTTTATAATCTCTCACTCGATACTGCCTATATACTTGATACTTATAGTACATAGTGATATAAAATACCGTTATGTGCTATATAGTGACAAGATATTTAGGTAAATAATGACTTAGTGTAACTAATCTAGTAACTGTTTATAAATATAGTAAAATCTTTGAACAAAATACTGAATAAGAGCTACATAAAAAAAAATACATAAATATTCTCAATTTAAAAATAATTTAAAAAAAATATTAATAATCCAAAAATTATTAAAACTTAAATATTCTGTATTTAAAAATAATAAAATGAAAATAAAAATAATAAAATAAAAAAAAAATAAGAATAATCCAAAAATAATAAAATAAAAAAAAAATAAGAATAATCCAAAAATAATTAAAATTGAAATTAAAATTACTAAAAATACTTTCGTTAGTATAAACAAAAAATTTATAAGCAAAATCAATCTAGAGAAAAGTTGTCTTAGAAAATGTTAAGTATTCTAAAATGCATAAATTTTTGGTAAAGCTAAAACAGTTTTTTATATAACTGAATTTCTAACTAAATACATAAGCAACATAAGAATTTATTGCTAAAGGGTATTTCAAAGTGCAATCCATACAAAATAGTTGGTTGAAGTTATTGCTTTTGTTGCAACTTGTTGTTGCTGTTGCTGTTGTTGCTGGAGTCGCAGTTGCGCCAATGTTGGCAATTAATATTATTGCATGTTGCCAAAGTGTTTCAGTAGCTGTACGTGTGCGTGTGTGTGCGTGTGTGTGTGAATGTGTAATGAAATTAAATACAACAAGCGTCAAAGCAAATTCTAAACAATTTTACAAAAACTCTCGAAATGAAAAGTGTTGACTACGTTTGCTCAACAACTTTAGTTGCACTCAAAACGCGTTAAGTTGAGTTTTCCTTTTTTGATATTTTTAGTCGCCTTTTTATCGATGGGACAGGATAGGACAGCGCTGCTCAGCCATTTGTGCCTTGTCCTGTTCGCTATCCCTGACCAGCTTCGATTTATTTTCCATCGAACCACAAATAACGCAAATTGGCATCATATTTTAAGCAAATTGCATCCAAGATTTATGGTAATTGTGCAGCATCGCAGCCAATGCCTTCAACTGCACCGCTCGTCCCTCCTTCGACCCAACAAAATGGCATCAACCGCAAAACGGGTTTGCCTCGTTGCCTTCATTGTTGCTGTTGTGCATTCGCACCAGCAATTGCTGCTGCTGCGGCTACCGCTTCAAGTTGCCGCCGAAAAAAAAAAAAACAAATTTGCAATTTATTTTTGCCAATTAACCTCGTGACTTTTATAAAGCGTGGCATAAATTTTGCATTTAGAAACGTTTTAAAAATATGCAACCCAGACCCCAATGCAATTCGTCAGGCAAAGCAGGACGAAAACTGCTTTGGATAGTCGATAGAAATTTGATAAGATATTAATGCATAAGGAAGGGATAGCAGAAAGGAAACTTGTAAAGAACGGGAAAAGCATTCTGGTATAGTTATGAATATAGAAGAAATATTGGCAAAGCCTTTGACAGCTGTTGGCAGTTTATTAACTTAAGAATAAACTGCACAGAAATGTGAATATAGAATTAAAAGAGATCTAAGGAAGATCTGAAAGAGAACCAAGACTGAAAGGGATGTAAGCGTGAAAGAGATCTGAGACGAAAGGAGAAATAAGACTGAAATAAATCTAAGATTGAAAAAAATCTAAGAATAAAGAAAAATAAGACTGAAAGGGATCTAAGAGGGAAATATATCTTAGCTTAGAAAGAGAACTATGACTGAAAGAAATATAAGGCTAAAATATAATTAAGGCAAAAAGAGAAATACGACTGAAATAAATTTAAGACTGAAGGGGATGTAAGAATGACAAGGATCTAAGATTTAGAGACAGACAAAAAGGAGATAAGCTTATACATATCATTCAAAAACAATAGCAAATATACAAAGGACTCCTTACAAAATTTATGATATCTATAAGAACGTTAGTAACAAGGATAACAACTTTGAAGACATTGTAAATATTTAGGATAGGTAACAAAATATAATGAAAATATCTAGATTATTATAAATTTAAGAATTGCTTACAGTCTATAACAGTATCTTAAGTATTCACAAAGTAAATATAATACAGCTGTGCTAAGTATTTAGTCAAACATAAGCTGGGCCAATCATTAAGCTGACAAATTCAAAGCAATACGAGCTATAAATTCTAAAGAAAAACAAGCCATAAGCAATCCCTTATGTTATCCATAGTTATAGCAATTTCTAACTAAATCCTTCACAGTATTTACTCACTTGAGCGCCCGTTAGCGTGGCCATATCAAGTATAATGTTCGCCTTGAGATCCTTGTTGGCAAAGCAAACGCCATCGGCAAGCACCAGACGACCCTCGGCATCCGTATTGTTGATTTCCACAGTGCGGCCAGAGTACAAGGTGTGTATATCATCGGGACTGCAATCAGCAAGCAAATATATTAATTATAATAGCAAATGGAACATAAACTTACCGCGTCGCATTTGGACCCACCGAATTTTCGGCCAAACAGAAGACGGCATGCAGGTTATCCCTGAAGCCGCATTTAACGGCCGCATAAAAGGCACCCAGAATAGCTGCTGCACCGCCGCAGTCTCGTTTCATGCCCGGCATGGCTGTTTTGCCCTTGATGCTCAGGCCACCAGTATCATATACAATGCCTTTGCCAACGAGTGCAATCGTTTCCTGTGCGCCCTTTGGCTCATGCGAGAGCACAACCAGAGCTGGCGGCACAGCTGCCGCCTTGCCAACGCCATAGATGCCGCCAAAGCCGCGCTCCTGCAGCTCCTCGCCGCGTATGATTTGAGGCTGGAGGGAGAGCTCTTTGGCAAACTCGCTGATATTTTCAATAAAGTGATCTACATTCATCTCGTTGCAGGGCGTGTCCACAATGCGTGCAGCATGGCGTATGGCACGAGCCGTCTCGTTCAGGCAATTGAGGTCGTCCTGGCTGAGAGGATCCTTCTCCACGCCACCATCCTTATCAATGATAACAAATTCCACATTGACCACAGAGCGTAATGCGTGGCCATCGCCACCATCACTATTTGGCGACTTGGCACCGTTGCCATTGCCCGTTTTGCGCGAGTAAAGGGGGAAAGCACGCACCACAGCACACGCGCTGGCAAAGAGGTTCTCGCGTTCGCAAACGAGCACAACACTCTCCTCGTTCACGTTGAGCACATGGTTCTTAACCAGACGCGTTATCGAATGAGCCCGCGAGCCGGTATTATGTCTCGACGCCTTCAATGGCAATGCGGCGACTGTAGCCACATCCAGATAGAGCGAACACTTATCCGTTGGCGCCGGATGCAGGCAGGCGATGGCATTCTTAAATGTCTCCTCATTGACGCGCGGCTCCAATTTGCCAGCCAGCTGGCTAAACTTCAACAGATTCAAATGGCGCAACTGGCCGATAATTAACACCGGCTGCACCTGCGGATCCGTGCGACTGAGCGACGCGTTAAACTTGATGTCCGTTGCCATCTGAAATGTGTGAAACACCGAATTATTGCTTTGACTGCACCTTTATTCGCCACTGTCCGCTACCTTAACACTCGACTTAGTATTATTTATGATACTCCATATCGACACAAATAAACTTTGTACTCGAAGCCTGGGCGCATGACACAAATTGATTACAGCAACTGATTTCCCTCTGGCGCTAATCATTCCTCTAAATAAAGCTGATTATACGCGTTTACAAGACACAAAAACCTTAATACTACTACAACTACATATTTTAATGAAATCAATGCCGAAGTGATTCTGATGGGAAAATATTCTCCCGTAACAAGTTTGCACAGTATTTAACAAATAAATAAATATATAAATTTTTAAAAAAATTAAAATTAATATTTTTTTTAATTTTTGGAAAAATTTTTTATTTTATAATATAATTTTTTGATTTACTTAGTTTCAATTTTTTTCTTAATATTTTTAATGTTGATATGCAAAAAAAAAAATTAATATATTTAACATTTTATAAGCTCCAAACCTACCAATCTTTAAGTTGTTATTTTACAACTGTGACAAGATTACGTTTTTGGTTAAGATTCGTTATCTTATCATATACCTAAGCAGCACCAGTAATATATTTAAACAATAATAAAAATAAAAATAAATTAAATGTCCAGCCCTGGACCAAGCAATTGTTCATTAGTCATAATAATATAAACATATTCTGATCTATAAATAGCAAATATACTGCATAAAATAAATAACAAAATAACATCTGCAATTGCCAGCGACAATAAAAAGAAATATAATAACAATTTCGTATCGCCAGCTGCCGAATATGGCACACGCTGATAAGAGAGAAGGTATTAAGATTTGCGACGTCATCAATGCTGTGGCGCAATGACACCGCAAACGGCGTGACCTTGTGCGTGAAAATAAAGGCGACCAACAAGTGGATGCTCTGCGCTCTTTTGATGCCATTGCCAATTTAACATAGAGTAACCGTTATATATGTATGCATTTGTGCAGTTAAGTGCTTTAGATGGCAACACAAACGTTTTTTATGCAAATGCCTTGTTTATTTTTAGAATCCAAGCTGTATTCCCTTTGTTCGCAAAAATCCACAAAAAACTTGTTCGTTCCGCCCCTGCCACCGGCATCTGAGCACACGTAAATATCTACTTACCGTTCTTATTGGAGCGGTACTGCTATAGCCGCAACGAAATACTGTGCGTAACGCGAATGATGTATGCAATATACGCATCAATATTTTATATGCAGCAACAAGCAGAATTCACTTGTTCTCAAATTTTTGCAAATCTCGATGACGCTTCTCACTTGCAATTTTTGCCGGCTATCAGTATGATAATTCTAGCTAGGCAATCGATAACTTTTCCATACGTTGTATGCGATATGTGGCCATACTTGCCCCAGACGAGCGCTCAAAAAATAAGTTCTCTGGCAACGCCGCTAATTTTAAACTTTTATATTAATTTATATTTTCAGCGACGATTAGTTGCCCAATCAACTTGAGTTAGATTTAAAAAGTGCCCAAATTACATTACAAATCTTATAATTAACTGTTAACTAATTTTAGGAAGTGGCAGTTGCTTGATTTTGCTCATCTCTAATATGAACTGGAATGGAATGGAATGCAATACTATCAGTCTGGCAACTCCAGTTATTGAAGAAGCGTCATTTGTGTTATATTCAGGCTTTTGCAGCGCTATTTATTTAAAATTTTCGTAAAGCACTGATTGAGAAGGAATGTCGAAACAAATTGATACGCGCAAACGTCTAATGGTAATGTTACAAAATGATATAAGTTTACAGCAGCAGGAGAACGCGCTAGCTAAGCAAAGCACCAAATTTCACAATAAAATGGGTAAGTAAAATTGTTCACAGCTGCATTTGTAATTTGAATTACAAATATTATTTCATACATAGCGGGAAGACAACAAACTATTAAACGTCAACAGCGAAAATTGGACAAATTAAATGAAATGTCAAACCTGCGCCAAGATGATGAAGAAAATCGAATTGCATTTGAACAAGCGATGCGCGACAAGTTGTCAAGAGAGCAACAAAATTTAATTGAAATGCAGAAGGAACTCGCTACAAAGAAACAACAACGAGACGATATGATAGGATTGTGAGTGCAAAGAATATCTATATTTATCCCTGTATGTATACAAGCCACCTACCTTCCTTTTTGCAGCGCACGCACTCTGAGTGAAGCAACCAACACTTACATCAATCTAAACGCTTTGCCCGCACGCGTTAAAGGAGTCGCCGTTCTGCCAGATCAGGGCGAATGGATACCTTTTAATTGCGATGCCTACGATCTAAAGGGATTAAATACGCTTTGGTCACATCTAAATAAGCCCAGTTCCACAGCTGAAAAGTGGCAGCAGCTTTTCTCTGTAGACAGCTCCACACTGCCAAGTGCAGAAGGAAAGGAAAACGCCAATGCTTCGATGTCTGTAATTGAAATTGATCTTACCTCGCCGACATCTAACAGATCAGTTGGCGAAAATACAAGAAAAATAAACAATAATTCAAATATTTAACTATAATTAAATCTATATAATAAACTATTATAAAACTATTTAATTATAATGTAGTCTATAAAATATATATACATAATTGAGAATATACTTAAATAAATAATTATAAAAATATATATAAGTAATATTCAAAATATTTTATTATTTTTTAATCTACATCATTAAATGTATATGTATATAAATAAATAGAAATATTTAATAATTTAATCTACATAATTATATAATTAAACAACGCAACTTAATCGCCGCCTTACAAATGCAAACTCATCGTGAGCGTGCGTTCAATACGTAGAAAATACATTTTAATGCTCAGACAAATAAACAGAATTAAATAAATTAAGTTCATGCCTCTGCTGCAAAATAGCAATTCAAATGTTCGATTAAATCCAAGTATTGAAACCCATTATTATATGCCTAGACTAATTAAAAACTGATTACGTATATATTTTTAGTATATCAAATTGAATTCTCATAAATTGTACGCTCAACCCGTTGCGAGTGGGATCGAATTAAGATCTTTGTAACAGGTAGACAACTAAGAGCTCGTGCTTATGGAGCTGTTAGATGTCATGCGAACAGATAGGAATCTGTTTTCAAATGCTTACACGCACAGATCAATCTGTATTTAGGAACTTAAGCTGTCAAATATTGTATATAGACTGTATATAGATACCAACTACGTATTAGGATAAATCCATTTATATTCAAAAATATCTTTGTTGTTGATTACAACTTGACTTTACATAGGGTATCTTCTAGTCTGTCGTCTGGCGCACTATTGTTTTGTTTTCGAAATTTTCTGATTATACTCTCCATGTGCAAGAGTCAACTCGTGTTTATTAAATGGTTTATTTCCCGTTTTTTTTTTGTTTTTATTTTTGTGTCTGGAGCCTCTTAATCAAATATCGAACCACCATTCTTTAGTTGGACTTATATACAGAGATTGTGCTGTCGCAGTCACAATCGTTATTGAAAAACATTCCATTTCTGAGTTCTAAAGTACGACCGTCTATTATCAGAAAAATACCACCAAATAGACCTGCCCTCTATTCGAAAAGCTCAGTGCTGGTTCGAACTCAACTCGGAACGAATCAAAATGTTAACCATTTTCTTAATCTCGTTGGTCTCGATCATATTTATACACCAGTTATATAAATATGCAGTCGATCGTCCTGAAGGCTTCCCGCCGGGTTAGCCACTTGAAAGTCATTTCGAATTTCGCGTGTGATTAACCTAAATTGAATCCTTTCAGGTCCTCCACGATTGCCACTATTCGGGAGCTATCTATTTATGCTCTTGATCAATCATAATTACCTACACAAGGCGGTTCTATCGCTCAGCAAGTGGTACAAATCGGACATTGTTGGCCTATATGTGGGCAAGTTTCGAGTTGCCGTGGTCCACAATGGAGAGGGTGTACGCGAGCTCCTGAATAATCAGGCCTGCGACGGACGTCCCGCTCTCTATTTGAGTAGAATGCGCGATCCTGGCGATGGTGTGCGAGGTGGGTTATGAAGATCCCTGATCTACCCGAAAGGGGGATCCACCTGTTAATATTTAACGTACAAAACATAATTTTAATCTAAAGATTAACTCAGTAGCCCAACGACTCTTCAGGGTATAGCCTTATCAGACATTGGGTACCACACTTATTGGATCAGATATTCTAATCAGTTTTCTTTAAAGCAGTTCACTACCTACTCAATATGTTGCGGTAGTACGCTTGTTGGCAAGCCTTTTTGGCTATGATAAGCCGTATCAGTGAAAAAGAGGCGGGCCATGACATCATAAAGATTGCGAAACTCATAAATATGCTACATATGTATTATTTTCAGGCATATTCTTTCAGGAGGGACTTCTGTGGAAAGAGCAGCGTCGCTTCATTCTACGTTTTCTGCGTGACTACGGATTTGGTCGTCGCTTCGATCAGTTGGAGATGGTCATCAATGAGGAGATAACAGACATGATAGATCTGATACGCAACGGTCCCCGCTATGAGCACGAGCATCTTCTGGTCAAGCCGGGCGGATATAGAATACAATTGCCTATGTTCTTCAATCCCTTCTCAGCCAATAGCCACTTTAGCATTGTCTACAACGAACGGATTCCCAGAGCTGAAATGGCCAATGTAGTGAAACTTGTTCAGTTGGGCCTACAATTCCAGCGCAATGCCGATGATTATGGAAGATTATTGAGCATTATACCCTGGATCCGACATATCTTTCCCGAGACGAGCGGATATAAAAAACTGAATGAGTCGAACCAATATATATATAAATTCTTTGCGGACTTTGTCGATCGCCACATTGAAACCTACGATGAAAGCTGCGAACGAAATTTCCTCGATCTCTACATAGCCGAAATGAAAAAGGAACTACCCGAAGAGTACGGCTTCAATCGAGAGCAGTTCATCATGGGTCTTGTCGATTTCTCATTGCCTGCCTTCACAGGACTAGGTGTCCAATTGGCAATGATTGTGCAGTACCTCATGATCTATCCCGAGGTCGCGAAGCGCATACAACACGAGATCGATGAGGTGGTGGGCAGTGGACGCTTGCCTACCTTGGAAGATCGTGACAAAATGCCCTATACGGAGGCAACGATACGAGAGAATCTGCGCATGGAGACTTTGGTACCTTCCGATGTGCCGCACAAAGCTCTAGAAGACACTGAACTAATGGGCTATCGTATACCCAAAGTATGTCCTATTCAATCAATTCTAGTGACTAGAGATATACGTAATCTTATTTTAATATTATTTACAGGACACAGTAGTGTTAGCCAGTCTATACGCTATGCACTCGGACAAACGGATCTGGAAGGATCCCGAAAATTTCCGACCTGAACGTTTTTTGGACGATGACGGCAAACTGTGTCTCAAGAAGGACGTATCTCTACCTTTTGGCGCTGGCAAACGATTGTGTGCCGGGGAGACCTTTGCACGGAATTTGCTATTCCTAATGACTACAGCTATGTTGCAGAACTTTGATTATACTCTTGCCCCGGGTGACAGCCTGCCTGATGTTTCCAAGAATGAGAGTGGATTAATTATTTCACCTCCCGATTTCTGGGTACAACTTAAGGAGCGCTAACATTAAGAACAGTTTTTATAAAATAAATGTACCTTAAAAATCTCAACATACTATGCTGGATTAAATTAAATTTCTATCTTAATAGTTTTATTAATTTTTGAATGTTTTGAACGTTACATATTAAGCTTAGCACCTGTTTAAAATTTTGAGCTTAACGCTCATAAGGAATTACATTCATTTATCGAAATATAATTAGCTTTCATCGAACGCAATATTTACTTGATAGCTTTTAGCACATCACTAGACGCTTGCCATTCACTAGGAAAATGAACACAGTTTATGGAAAGAAAAGACAATTATATTCAAAATATTGGATTGGCTGCAAAGTTTATATTGAATTGATTATGAAATTTCATTGTGTTATATCGCTCATATTATTCAAGGAGTAATAGAGCTGCCTGATATACGTTTGCAATTTCAGTACTATACGCTAGCTTAGTAGAGCATCAAAAAGCTCAACATTTTGTTGGCAACTTTAACTGAAATATGAATTACAAATATTGAAATGTCGACAAAACATGCTAATGAAAATAACAATGAGACAAGCTGTTGGGCTGGTGAGTGCAAAGAAGTAGTCGTTTATATATGTAAAGTCAGAATTGCCTACCTGATTGCAGCAACTAACACATATATCAAAATTATGGAGTCGCTGTTCTGCCAGAGCAAATCGAGTGGATTCTAATTGATTATGATGCACAGTATGCAAAAGGTTTACATGCGCTTTATTCAGTTTAGCATAAACCCATCACTCTGGAAAGTGGAAGCAACTATTCTCTATAGATAGAACTACAATGCGGACTGCAAACGGAAACAAAAACATCAACGTGCAATGTCGTTTATAATTAAGATTGATCTTACCTCGACGCCATAGATGATTATTGGCTAACGGAAATGCAATCAAAATGAATCATTAATCATATATGTATATATTTGTATAAAAAACACGCGAATGAATCTGAGCACTTGTCTTATCTTCTTCAACCCGAGTTCCATATTCAAGTGGCAAAGCAAAATAATCTAGAATTAAACGATACTATAAGTATTGAAAACCAGTATTAACTCAATGAAATGTGTCGGATTAAAAAAAGTTTATAGATTTTTATTAATTTGTTTTTAATTTTTATTAATTATAATCTGAACTGATTGGAAATGCAAATTCATGCATTGTGACAGTGTATTTAGCAGTCAGATCAGAAGCAAAGGCCGACTCGATCTAGCTCTGTTCCCAAGTATCTAATCTATATCTTTTCAGTCATCAATTTTTTTGAACACATCATTAATGATAAAATTAAGCCTTAATGTTGGCACCCCTGCATGGCGCTTAGGGTATCGCCGAGTCGCTTAATCCCAATTTATTTTACTCATATGGCCAATATTCTTCTGTTGGTTTTATATATAAAGATTGCGGATCGCAATCACAATTGTTATTGCAAAATGCATTCTATTTAAAGTTTCAAAGTGAGCTACGAAACCTGTATATACGACTTTATCAGACGATTGTCATTATATTGACTGCCATCAGTTGGAAAAGCTCAGTATTGGTTCGAACTTAAATCGGGGCAAACGCAAAATGTTTACTGTTCTCTTACTCTCATTGGTCGCGATCATTTTTATATATCAATCATATAAATATGTGTTCCATCGTCCTGCAGGCTTCCCGCCGGGTTAGGCAAACAAAATCGAATCGAATTTCGCGTGTGATTAACAGAATCCTTTCAGGTCCTCCACGACTGCCATTCTTTGGAAGCTATCTATTTTTGCTCTTGGTCAATTACAAATATCTACACAAGGCGGCTTTATCACTTAGCAAGTGGTACAAATCGGACATAATTGGTCTATACGTGGGCAAATTTCGAGTTGCCGTCGTGCACAACGGAGAGGGCGTACGCGAGATCTTAAATAATCAAAGTTATGATGGACGTCCTGGTCTCTTTTTGAGTAAAATGCGAGATCCTGGCGATTGTGTGCGAGGTGGGTTATAAGAAAATCAAGATCAAGATATACTCTTTGATTAAAGAGATTAGAGATTCTTCGATATAAACAGGGTATTTTATTTAGAACAAATAGATAGGTAATTTCTTCTCCTAGACTCATTAAAAATGGCCATGCGTGTGTGCAGGCATACGTATATATAAAAAAGTCCAGTAATAATAGTCAAATCTCAGAGTATCTTCTAGTCGTATATACTCCTAACTAGAGTACTCTTGTTTTCTTTGTGTCGCACGCCTTCAATGTGTTAGTGATAAACGTCCTGTACTACATCAATATTTAGTAACACTTGTCGTTAAACCTCTTAAAGATTATTTTAAATTATCAACGAAATCCCCTACTTACAGTAAATATTATTATTTTGCCAAGTATTATGGCTATCAATAGATTAGCTCTTGTCGATTATAATAAGTGAAAATATATCTGGCTGTACTTAGGTACATTCTAATTACGCAATTAGCATTTTGCATTTTCGAACAAACATGGCAAACTCTTTGATATGATAAGAGTTATAGGTAAAAAATCATATTGACATCAAGTAGACTGCAATAGTCACATATAAATTTAATGCTCTACAAATACATATATATAAATATGTATATATGTATTACTTTTAGGCATATTCTTTCAAGAGGGTCTTTTGTGGAAGGAACAACGTCGTTTTATTCTGCGTTATCTGCGAGATTTTGGGTTTGGTCGTCGCTTCGATCAGTTGGAGATGGTCATCAATGAGGAGATAACAGACATGATAGATCTGATACGCAGCGGTCCCCGCTATGAGCACGAGCATCTTCTGGTCAAGCCGGGCGGATATAGAATACAATTGCCTATGTTCTTCAATCCCTTCTCAGCCAATAGCCACTTTAGCATTGTCTACAACGAGCGGATTCCCAGAGCTGAAATGGGGAAGCTAGTGAAACTTGTCAACTTGGGCATACAATTCCAGCGCAATGCCGATGATTACGGAAGATTGTTGAGCATTATGCCCTGGATCCGACACATCTGGCCCGAAACGAGCGGATATAACAAACTGAATGAGTCCAACTTGTATATATATAAATACTTTGCAGAATTTGTTGATCGCCACATAGACAGCTACGATGAATGCTGCGAACGCAATTTCCTCGATCTCTACATAACAGAAATGAAGAAAGGCCTACCAAAAGAATACGGCTTCAATCGCGAACAATTCATCATGGGTCTTATCGATTTCTCATTTCCTGCATTTACGGCAATCGGCGTTCAATTATCACTGATTGTGCAGTATCTGATGCTATATCCGGAGGTCGCGAAGCGCATACAACGTGAGATCGATGAGGTGGTGGGCAGTGGTCGCTTGCCCACGCTGGAGGATCGCCAAAAGATGCCCTATACGGAGGCAACGATACGAGAGAATCTCCGCATTGAGACTTTGGTACCTTCCGATGTTCCACACAAAGCTCTAGAGGACACTGAACTAATGGGCTATCATATACCCAAAGTATGTTCCAGATATGTTGATCTAATGATTTGTTTTTAGCTTATCTTTTATGTATATACATTTTATTCACAGGACACCATAGTCCTTCCCAGTCTATACGCTATGCACTTGGACAAACGGATGTGGAAGGATCCCGAAAATTTCCGACCTGAACGTTTTTTGGACGATGATGGCAAATTGTGTCTCAAGAAGGACGTATCTCTACCTTTTGGCGCTGGCAAACGATTGTGTGCTGGGGAGACCTTTGCACGGAATATGCTCTTCCTAATGACTACAGCCATGTTGCAGAGCTTTGACTATACTCTAGCCCCGGGCGATAGCTTGCCTGATCTAGCCAAGAATCATAATGGCCTTATTATATCGCCCCCCGATTTCTGGGTACAACTTAAAGAGCGATAGCATTACTTACCATTATTCTAAAATAAATGTATTTTAAGCATCTCAACATTGAGTCGATCGCTAAAGGCTTAGACAAACAACTGTTTACTGATTTAAATGTTACTTTCAGCACATAACTAAATTCTGGTTCACCGCTCACGGCGATGACAAGGAAAATATTAATCTTTCGACGACCCATAAGAATAGACACATCTATATCGAGATCCCGAAGGATTCAGTAGCAAATCGCGGTTAACGATATAAGTCAGACAATTTTATTTGCAATTCGCTGTTAAATAGACATCAATGGAAAATCAGTTTGATTTGTGTATAACCGTCGTGATTGTATATCGATATGTTGGTTTTCAATTGCTATCGCTAAACATCAATTTTTTAATCGATATCAGAACCATCGCTTGGCGCGATGTATTTCCATTTTAAAGTGCTTATTTATATTGGCAAATTTCAAGGGGAGGGTGCACGCCAGATCTTAAGTATGTAGCAGGTCTACAATGGACTACCTGAATTCCAGATGCTGGTGATTCTGTGACAGCTGGGTTAAAAGATGGGTTTGTGTCTATATAGGGAATTATCCAAGCCAAACACCACCAGTTCACGGATGCTACTCATTTTTGGATGTCCTAGATTCTTATATTCAAATTTATTAAAGTTACATTACCGTTACCGTTACCAAAGACTACAGATTTAATTAAAAGGGTATATTGAATACCCAAAGTATAGTTATTCATGGCGTCATATGTCTGTAGATAAGAGCTTTTCAAGTTTACTTCACGTTATCAACAGGTTCACTGCTATCAGGCACATGAAGAAATTAATTTGTTAAACGGGTAGAAAAGAATTGTGGTAAATTATTTATAACGATTGTAATTAAATTAAAATAAAAATTAGATTTACAATTGAATAGAATTATATTGGTTCCTATCTGATACTTTCTTACCTAGTCACTAGTATAATTTTCTCGTTGTTGTAAATAGCCGACACAAAAATTGTTGCGGTAGGATTGTTGTTGCCTAGTTTTCAGGTTGCCAATAAGCATTATCGGTCAAAGAACAACAACAAAAAGAATCCATATTTAAAAGTGCGAGTTTTGTGATGTTATTATATTATATTTTTCACATTATGCCAGATAAACCAGAGGCCTGAGGAAATTTGTTTATGTTTATAGATATGTGTTTAAGTCGTCTTAATTTATTAGCGCATATTTTACAAGTTTGCTTCAGTTACTCAACATTTGATTGAACTTAATTTGAAATGTTAGCTTAATGAATAGTTAATTGATAGAAGCGAGCAAATATCTCACTGAATATGCATTTATCATGTATTGCTTTAAATGTTTAATGCTAGCTTAGAGTAAGTTAAACTTATATGTATATATGAATATATATGTATGCATGCCATGCATCATCATTGATTAATACTGCAATCAATACTTAACCGGGTCAATTGGGACCAAGTTACATGGCGTCAACATATGCACAGGGAGTTGCTCACAACGCATATACATTTACAATTAAAATTATTTATGTGTTAACTAATTATAGCTCTTGATTTGCTTTCCTTGGTTGTCTATAGTTAAATCAATGATTCCAATTAGTAGTACGCCTGCTTAATGGCTGCGCTGGTTATTAAAAAAGCGGAGCCTATCAATACGAATGTGATGATTTTTAGAGCGCTGGGCCTACCGGAAGAATCTGTGTAGATTGAAGAAGTTGTTTAAATTATTTTACATTTTTAGCATGTCAAGTTTAGGAATCTCACTCTTTTTGTTGGGCATTACGCGTATGCACTGCCTCTGCTCAGTGCTCGGCTGATAGCCAAATTTGCATTGACAGACGGAGTTGCGGCATTCCACATTCTCTGGATCCTTTTCAACAAAACACTCTGTGGCCTTTGTGCAGGGCTCGTTCAGCACTTAAAGTTATGTTAAATAAAATATAAAATATTAATATTCAGAATGTATTAGTTGTAAATTTAAGCTCACGTCGTTTCGTTTCACAAATTCCGTTCTTTTCATGCTGTTCGTCGGTGCAGCCGCATTTGCCTGCCTCGGTGCAACTAGCTAGCAACGGCTTGCATTGCTCATCCTCGATACACTCATCGTCTAGTTCCTCAGCTGTAATGAAAAGGACTTCAATAAATGCCAAAAGAAGGTTTGCTGCATTATACATACCTTCCTTGAGACACTCGTCCTTGAAGTGCACATAGCCCTTGCGGCATTGACAGGAGCGCGCCTGCTCCGAATCTTTGGCTGAATTGCTAATGCATGCGGTATTGTCAGCTATGCACTCATCATCCTCTGAGCACTCGGCACCAATACCTGGTATAACAAATTATGTAATATCTATATACTGATTCATATATATAGCACTGTACCTGCCACACACGTTTCGTCCTTCTCAAAATAGTTGTCGCGACACACACAGAAGCGATTTGAGCAAATGGAATGGTCCACCAGACAGCCATCGTTGGACTCGCACTCGGCACCCAGACCGTCCTTGTATTCGCAGAGCTGCGAGATCTCATTGTATTGGGCGTACTCTTCACACGTGCAACGTCTAGGTATCTGCGGATGGCAATAGGAGGCGCCAAAGGGACTGCATTGGCTGTTTGATGTGCAGGACAGGTGATACTGAATGGCTGTTAAAATAATACAATAAATATTTAATGAACATCTAGCTATCCCATCATTACTTCAAGTTCTACTCACGTTTTCTACAATTGCGCAAGTCTCGTTCATAAAAATAGTTCTTTTGGCATATACAAGTCTTGGACAACTTATCGAACTCATATTCACATTCGTCACTGCTCTCCGCTATCTCGCCGAGCTCTGCCAAAGGGTTAATTAATTAATAATTGTAAAAGCTTTACAATTTGCTCTTACCTGCAAAACATTTGCCATTTCGTGCATAATAGCCCTGTCGGCACAGGCAAATCTTGTTTGTGCAGATCGAATGGGGCAAACCAGTGCAGGATTTGCCATTGTCTGTGCAGCTGCTGCCATCTAAAAGATTATATATTTTTCTTTAATCATACAATGCAAATTCCAAACTTTCTTATCTAAATTGAAAAAATGTTATTGATCTATCAACAGACGTTGCGTTATCGATAATTATTTCAAATTTACAAGTTGATAGCACACACCGTAATATCAGTGTTGACTAAGACGAATACTAAAGTTCCAAAAAGTTAGCATACGCACCCCTGATTATCAAACTTAATACAAATTTGTCTATCGATGAAATTTTTCAATTGCCATACATCGGTTTAAGGTGATCGCATCACTAATTTTTAGTTACTGCACGAAATTAAATTCAAATTTTTGCAAGGTCAAAAATGTGACTTTCGGCAAAGTAAGTTGACTTTTTTATGAATTGCCTTCCACTTTTCGTGAATATTTTTAAATAACGTTTCGTTGCTAAAACGTGGTATAACAGCGCAAAGTGTCGTGAGAGCCTGAACATCTGCTTAGTTGACGTTACATCAAATTATGGAAAAAAGTTCCGTTCCGTCATTCTGACCACTTAAAACTTGTAAAAATTGATTGAATTTAAAATTGAATACTCACACTTTTTGTCCTCGATATCGTCGTCATCACGACTCGATCCCAACGTGGAATACGTTTTAATATCCTCATTATCATAGCGAAAAATGGCGGGAAATCGACGACGATTGTTCGTGGAGTTGGTTGAGCCGGTTGTTGTTGTTGTTGTTGCTGTGGCCACATTCTTGAAACTGCGTCCCAGCTCCTTCAGCTCGTAGTGCTCGATGCTGGTCTGCACGGCGATTTCGCGACTGCGGCGAGGCGTCAGCAGCAACGGCTCGTCGCCGTTAATCAATGGCAGCGTCGCCTGGGCGGCGGCATCCTTATGTGTGGGCGTGGCATGAAGGAAAGCTTTCGTGAACTGTCTCTTTTCGCGCACCCAACCACTATGGTCCTCGTGTCGAATGGTTGTGATAATGGACTCTGGTTCAGTAGTCTCCTCATTCGCTTCAGTTGTCTCCTCATTCGCTTCAGTTGTTTCGATATTTTCCGGCGTACTCTCAGTGTCGTTATCTTCCGGTGTGGTTTCCGTGCCAACGGTGGTGCTCGACTCATCCACAATCGTACAGGTTAGATCCACGCAGGCGGCACTGGCGCCCAGTGCATCACAGTCCGCATTAACGACGCAAGCATCGTTTTTTTCTGAAACGAAAATATTTACAGTGAAGCCTCTGTCAACGAATCTGCACTTCATCTATCGTATACACTTCTAATTCTAAAATTTTCGAACATTTTCAAAACAAATTAAATTTTTATGGCCCTTAAAGTCAGGACATTTTCGCAACGCAACGCAGACGTTACTCCATAGCAGAGTTTACTGTATGTATAATTAATATTTACCCATTGATTTGCGACGGCATATGTTTCCATATCTGTGATAATAGCCATTTGCACAGGCGCAAACGCTCTCCTCACAGCTCACGGATGCTCGATCGTAGCCAAAAAAGCAATCCAAATCCTGCCAAGAAATATCGACTTTTAGAGTACTATACTATAAGATACGATAATTGATTTTGGACGCACCGTTTCGCAGGGCTCGTTGAGTCCATTCACTGGCCTACACTTGCCATGCAAATAGGTTTGGCCATCGGCGCAATCGCAGACCCCGGTTTTACAACTGGCTCCCGTTGGCATAAGATTGCATTGAACAGTGTCTTGGCATGCGTCACCAATCAGCGAGGTGGTCAAGCATTCCGAGTAGTTATCCGAGAACACCTCGTCAAAGCTGGAGCAGGCACAGAGACTTGTTTCCGGGTCACAGCTAGAGCCAGCAGCTGTGCAATCCGCATCGCTTTCACATGGCCAAAACACAGCCAATGCACCGCCGTCTCCTGCAAATAGTTATAAACGTGATATAGTAATATATATATATATATATCATTAGCTCTATTTATTGTGATTGTCCCCTTTGACGCACGATATCGATCGATTCACAGCTAAAAACATGCCCAAAATTAGTTTACGCGGCCAACAATTTGTAGGCTTCAATTATTCAAAAG